TGTGTGTGTGTGTGTGTGTGTGTGTGTGTATGTGTGTGTGTGTGCGGCAGGCTGCTGAGTACTAGAATGTGGTACTAAGTTCCCGAACTCCAATCATTTAGGGGTGGTTCAGGAAGTCTTCACCGAAACCTGCCTCTAAAGTCAGGACAGATCTTAAACCAAGAGAAGAGAAAAGGGCACTGCTCCAGGGAAATGCTGCTAGTATTCTTGCGAAATAATCTTGCCCACTCTTTAAGCCCTGCCTAGGGCCTTATAACTCATCCCTCCAGCTCAGCAGAATTGGTCCAAATTGGTGTTTGCAAACAGGAATACTGATGGGAGTACCTGTGACGTGCTGCTCAAGCCCTGGGAGTGTGAATGAGTAATTGACCTGGTGCAGATTTCCTTCTGTGGAAGTTTCCCCCACTCCAAGTGCTTTGGTGTGTCTCTGATATTCTGGTGCAGCATTAGTGTTTCAGGAACTATGTATGCAGTTCTTATGCTCAGTCTTGAAGAGTTCCTACCACGTGTGATTGTCTGTTTATCAACAGGGAGGCTGTTGGGGGCCCATTGTGGTGATACATGGTAGAAGTAAGAAATGGAGGAGCTGTTTAAATGGAACTGATGGCCCAAAGAAGAGTCTGTGGCTCCATCCCTTTCCTTTTGGGATGAGACAGATGATCAAAGGGCTGTAGCACTTGGATTCTTTCTTTTGTTTTGTTTTTTTGGTACCAGGGATGGAACTCAGGACCTTGCACTGCCTTTCTCCTCCATTTCCATTCTTCTCTAGTTCCTCAGCTTCCTGGTTGGCTCCTCTTCAAAACCAAGTGGGTCGATGGGATGGAGTGCTGGAATGCAGATTTCTGATCACCGTTGGAACAGAGGGTCGACAAATTGGCATAAGTTTCGGAAAGTAGATTTTGATTTAAAATAAGGGCAGGGTGACTCTCTTTGTCACAAGTGTTGGCCAACAGTGGAGTGAGCTATCCTGTGAAGCAACCGGTTTTCACTGAGGTCTGTTAGCAGCTAAGGGACCATCTCTCTGGAATGCTGCAGGGAGAGCCCTTTCTTGGAGTGAACTTGAATTTTCACAGTTCACATCTGGTTGGAGGAAGAGGAAGCCACTCTAGTTCTTTTCTACTTTGAGGTTCCTTTTCCATATCTTCCTTCCCTCTCTTTTCCATTGCGTTTCTTCTTCTGAATTCCTCATAGCTCATGCCTTGTTTGTCATAGATGCTCAGAACACAGGACCTACCTGCAAAACTTGAAAAACACATGTAACAAGATATTTGTCTTGAGATGGCTGATAATTCAGATGCCAAACTTTTCCTACATTTTTTTTTTTTTGGCATGGAACTAGTCTCCCCAGCAAATGTGAAGGGTGCACATTTCTTTCTCTCCCTCCTCTCCTCCCATATGTGCTTTCACTCAGGCAGAGTTCTGTAACTGGAGTTGCAGCTCGAGGTAACGGAAAAGCAGTTTGCTCCGTGGGTTTGTGAATGGAGGGGTAGCCGTGGCATTGTTACCAGGAAGGTCTGATCCCTCCTCTCTTCTCTTGCCTCCTACTCTTCTGCTTCCTCTCCTCCACATAAGCACCTGGTCCTAGGCTCACTCCTCAAGGTTAATTTCCCTAGCAGCAGCTGTGACTCCATCTTTCTCCTCCTTCCTCCTCCATCTTCCACACACACACACACACACACACACACACACACACACACACACACACGGGCTTTTGAGTTATGTGCTTCTTGTTCTAATGAGATAAACAACATGAGTCTCATGAGGCTGCTTCTCCCTCTATAAGTGGAACTCCAGGGCTGAATGTGGTGGCCCTATAAAGGAACCCTGGTGTTTGTCAGCTTAGGAAGGCATGCAAGGAAGGGGGTAAGGAGACAAGCTGGAATCAAAGCAGACATCAAAGGGAAGCCCTTTACATCTTGTGACTACATGGCCAAAGGGCAGCATGGGTAGGTGGGGCAGGGAAGCCTTGTCAAACCAGGTGGTCAAGAGAATCCAAGATAAGTCTATATCAGCTACCTCCTGGCAATCAACAACTGATAGTTGTTAAGTTTTTATGGACTTAGAGATCTTCCTCTAGGTATCAGTGAATTCCATGACAGTCCTATAGGTGGGTGTCATTGATGCCGTTATCTTCCAGGGTATTTTTCAGTACTTGTGTGCTCTTCCTCTGCACATGGGGCTTCTCCAGTCTACTGAAAAAAGAATGAAACAAAACCAGTTCTTTCTTTTGGGCATTCAAAGGACTCAATCAAAATTGACTCTCAGGAAAGTGGCCTGTGGCCTGCTGCTGACCCACAGTGTAGTGACTACAGTCTCTGAGGGATCTAGGGACAAATGTTGATATTTCTGAGCTCTTGTCACTTAGACTTTTTGAGAGTGATGGTCTGGATCAGCTCTTTCTTCCTCACCTGCCTTTGATCATGGTGGATATACCAGGGTATATTTTATGGGGCAAGAAAGAAAATTAAGACCAGAGTCTGCCATGCTGGGTAAGTTGGGCTCTGAGCTCAGTTCTGGGTCCACTTTGTAGAGTCCATCTGGAAGGAGTCTCTTGGAAACAGGAACAGCAGGTTCAGTGATTGTTCACTTCTTGTATTTCTGAGTTGGGTTCAGTTCTGGTTGGATGTGTTTACTTGATAAGGGTTCCTTGTTGTGCCTGTATACACTGTGCGCTAGTTGTTGGGGATATGAGAGATGGACATGATTCCTACCATTCTAGATCTTATAAAACCAGTAGGAGAGACAGGCAATTAGTTAGCAGGCAATTAATTAATAGTACTTTTGGGGAAATACAAGTATGCTTGAGATCCTGCTGTAAAAGCTGTTAAGCCAATCTTGGCCCATCAGAAAAACATGCAGGCAGTAACTAGATGATGCCTAGACACCCAGAGGTTCCCAGTTAGACATTCCAACAATATACAAAGTTCTTAAAAATAGTCGCCCAATTCCCTCACCTATCTAAATTCAGATTGAAGAGGTCTGGCATGAATTCTGGGTACTAGGTGCTTTTGAGACTTTGTCCAGGTTACTTTGGTTTCTGTCTGGGTTAAGAATCACCATCCCAAGATGAGTAGGGACTGGTGTGGAGTAGAGTTCTGGGGTGTGGAGTAGCAGGTCAGTACTTGGTCTTCCCTGAGACCCTGAAGATCAACACGCCCAGTGGTGTCCTGGACACCTGGAAGGGATTCAGAATCAAGACTTCCATTTAGGAATGGTAGGATCAGAGGTTACATGGTCCTGAAGTAAGCCACAGCAGAAACATCGAGCTATTTCTAATGATGCCTTCCTTCATTAGACCCCTGGACCTCTCATGGCAGGGAGATCAAGCTTCCTTTATTTGATTCATTTGGCTTATATCCACCTGCTATAAGTCTGGTCCTTAGAGCTCAGGGAGCTCAAAGCTGCAGAACCCTCCTACTATGCAGAGGCCCACAAAGCAGGAGCCCCGTAGGTTCCAATTTTAATAGTTTCTGAGAATCAGAACGGGAGGGATCAAAACCTCCAAGTTGTTCACAGTCTTTCAAACTGTGGGACCACCTTTATGATTAAAATGATACTTAACACATAAAGGTACCTGAATATTTTGGTTCCTTTAGTGTTGGGAGAGTTGCCTCTGCTTGGGACACAGACCAGTGAATTGGTAAAGATGACTGGTAGAAATGGAAAAATGATATGTAGTAATGGAACTTTTATAGATTTTTCTCTGCAAAGGCAAATAATGAAAGCAATTTCCCCTCTTAACTTTTATGGACCCTGAAATGGAAGACAGAAGATGGGAATAGGGTCCTGGTGTTTTCTGAGCCCTTTGGCCCTAGGTTTAGGCAGGGACATTCTTATATGCACCTGCCTGCATCTAACAGCTGTCATTGCCACTCTTATTCACAGAAGACGGAATTTATTTTAGAGCAAAGCTGGAACATATTAATTAATTAATTAATTAATTAATTCAAAATCCTTAGTTGGATTCTTCTACATGTCAGACATAGTTTTAGTTCTGGGGCTCCTAGTAGGAATAAGACAGAAAAGTCTAGTCCTTTTGTGGGCTTTCCACTGTAGCATAGGGAGACTGGTTGGTTACTGCTTTATTTGGAGGAACATTAGATGGTCTTTTCTGACTGCAAGTCATCCTACCAATCTTTTTTTTTTTTTTTGCTTTCTGGTACTGGGAATCGAACTTGGGACCTTGTGCTTGCCAGGCAGGTGTGGCACCACTGAGCTATATCCTTGGCTCCAAACCCTACCTTAAGACCTTAAGAAAGGTCTTAAGCACCTTTCTCTTCACCCCTCAGCCTTACTCTCTCTTCCTCTAAGAGTAGGCTTTGTTGGACTTGTGTGGAAAGTCCATACCCCTCCATGTCCTATGGTTGTCACACTGTGTGCCATAGCAATATTGTCTGGGCATCACGAAGGCTCCTTATGGAGTTCTGGGCATGACAATGTTGCTGATGTTGTCAGAGGCCAAATATAAATGGCGACTCCTGCTGGAGGACAGTGTTGTCCACAAGCCCAGCTCTGATGCTTACTCATGATGGCTCAAGCAGATGGGCAGCAGTGTCCAGGAATGCTGCTCTTTGGGCCATGAAGCCTGGTCTCCAGAGCAGGTTTGTGTTTCTGAGGAGGCAGCTCCAAGGTAGGCCCATGATTTCTCCTGTCCATCTTGACAGAAACCTACTTAATCTTTACCTGGACATAGAGGCCATTGTTGGAGAGCCACTGCCTTGGGAGAGCTGTCGTGAGATCAACTCCTCCTATGGTGTGAAGTGATGGCTCTTCTTGGCCTGGGTGATATGAACACCATGGTGGAACAGATAGTGATGTTCTGGGGCAGATGGCCTAGATTCAGCCTTGGCTGTGCCATCAACCAGCTGTGTGACCTTGACAAGTCACCTCTCCTCTCTGGGCTTGAGTTTCCTCTCTCTGAATGATAAGGTGAGTTAAGGTGGTTACCATGGTCCCTTCCAGCCTGGAGCCTTTAATCTTTACGTGGTCTCTGTCCACAGGCCTCGCTCCAGGCCAGCTGTATACATACCCTGCTCGCTGCTGGCGCAAGAAGAGACGATTGCACCCTCCTGAGGATCCAAAGTTGAGACTTCTGGAAATCAAACCTGGTGAGTGTGCTCTGGAGCTTGAAGCTTAGCTGGGCCTGGCTCAGGAACAAGCTGGTTAGCTCCTTTGTACACAGGGATGAGTTTTCCAGGAGAGTAAAAGTATCCACATGGCACTCAGAGCTGTCCCTCTGTACTGACTCTGTGGTTAGATATGGCCATATGTCCACTGAGATTCTCTCCTCTCTGGTATCTTGAGCTTTCTCCTTCTTTGTCTTTCCTCTTTTCACCCCAGGGAAGCAAAGCAGGCAGCAGCAGGGGCCAGGCAAAGGTGACTCACTTTCCTGTCAGGGGTGAAGGAGCTGCAGTGCTTTTGGGTCAGGCACCACCTTCCTTGTGGGCTCAAGTGAAGATGCCTGATCTGTTTTCCAGAAGACAGCACCCTGTGGACCCTCTCTCCACTATTCATACAAACTCCTGGAGCAGCTTACTTGGAAATGGCCTCTTTGTTAAAAATAGAACCTGTCTTGGCCAAATCGAAGATCTGGGTTCAAAACTTACTTCTGGGGGATGAAGACTGATTTGCAGCCCTGCAGAAGGGCCTGGTCTGTTCACCCTGACTACTCACCTATTGATACTTCAGACTACATGGCTGCCTTGACCCCTGTCTCTGGGTTACAGCAAGGCTAAGTGACACTTCAGGGTCCTTGGTTTTAAGGAAAACTTTGTTTTGGGGGATTCTGGGGCTGGAATATGACTCAGAGTTGAGGGGATGGTACTGTCCAGTGCTTGTCATTAATTGGATGTGTCTCCTTGATTGAGTATGTGAGCCCTCTGGGCTGTTCCCTTGTGCTGAATAGGAACAGACATACCTGGGGTTCCTTGGCAGCCTTCCTGTTCCAACATGAGAATCAAACATGTTCTATGTAATTTAAAATTGATTTCTTGTTTGACTTGGAGTAGGTAATACAGTTGAGTGTTTTGACATTTAGAAGATAAAAGGATATATTGCATAGTGAAAAATAAGAGCACAGGGCTGGGGACTCAGCTCAGTGGTTCCGCTGCCTGCCTCTGAAGCACAAGGACCTGAGTTTGATCCCCAGTACCACCCCTCCATAACAGCACATCTCCCAAGAGGTAATCAGTGATACCAGTTTTTTAAAATTCTGTGAGTTGTGCATGCACACGCCTGGAATTGCACTGATGTGATCATCCCTTCCTCTTTTTTACACAGCATGACCACCTTGTATTTTGCCATTTCCATTTAAATAGTGCCTTAGACATTAGCCATCCCTAACAAAGTTTCCTCATCCCTTTGTTATAATTACATTCTATTCCACTGTATGAGGATATTTATTTAACCAGGTTGTTCTCAATTTTCACTTCTAACTTTTCTAATTTAACCAGTGATGCAATAAATATTTTGAATGTATATGAAGACATTTCACATTTAATTTATTAAAGGATTATAGTATAAATATGTGACTAATTTAAAATTATTAGTCTTTAGTCTTAATATTTATGTATAAGGTCTTAATTAAGAACAGTTAATATCATATTTATTGGATCTTCTTTCTTAGAATCAAAGACATTTAGCACTGTGAAGTGCCTTAGATATCATGAATTCTAATTCCTTATTTTATTAAGGTCCAGACAAGTTAAAGAAACTTGCTTAAAATAACACAGCAGTTCCTGTGGATCCAGCGGAGAATCTAGTTGCTTGAATTACCTGTTTAATGCTTTTCTGTTTCTTCATGCTGCTGATAGATACACTAATTTGAAGAAACTTTGACAAAGCTTTTTTCTTTTAAAAACTTTATGATCATAAAATTAAAATGTATCAAGAGATAGATGGAATTCATTCAGTCATAAATATGTAACTCCAACTAGCCTAAGCATCCTCCCGGCCAAAAAAGTTTCTTGTAACAGCAAATCCCAGTGTTTACCTGGCTTCAAACACAGTTGCATCCAGGTGCTCAAAAAACTGTAGTGAGGGCTGTGTCTCCCTCTACCTCTAATACTGTCTTCTCTTCCTGGGTCAGGGAGAGTGGCCGGCATGCACCACACTCAGCAAAAGTCCCCTTCCACAAGTGTGTCGAGAAGTCCCAGGTAGGATGGATTAGCTCACCAGGTTTATGTCTGCCCTACCAGTCACTGCCACTGAGGGGATGGGACACCCTGATCGAATGATTGTCATCATAAGCAACATCTGAATAGAAACACTAGTTTACAAAAGCCTTTATAAAGCATTTTCCTCCATATTACTCACTTGATCCTACCATGGGAGTTAGAGGGGCAAGGAAGGGATAAATGCATTATAAGCTCATTTTGTAGGTGAGAGAAGTTGGACCGTGGACAGAGCAAGAATTTAATATGTGGATCGTGCAACTGAGAAGCACTCATAGCTTATGGGACTGAGGCAAGAAGGTGTCTTCCGAGTGTTTGATCTTTTGTCCACAGATATTTACTTTGGATGTCTTGGGGCCCCACTGTTTTTGTCCTGCTTGTGGCTGATGACGGAGCAGCAGCATTCACAGTGTGCTGTGTACTGGCCCCCTCTTTAGCTCACCATGACATGTGAGGGTAGGGGAGAGGCAGAAGCCAGGGCTGGCACTCGTCTGTGGCCATGTCCCCTCTAGCATGCAGTGGTATATCTGTTACCATTTGAGACTCCCTCAGCCTCTGCCTCAAAGCATGAAGTAGAAGTGGCTGAACTAGGTTTGGGACTAAGGGCCTATGCCCTAGATCCTTAGAGTCTCGGGCAGTGTCACATTCTGGAGAAAACAAGCACCAGCCTTTGAGTGGCCCTGTCCCCACATGGAAAAAGAGCTGTCCCAAGGCTTGCTCTTTCTTCCTCACCAGGGGCTAAGGGACAATCAACAGCTCAGGGCTGTGGTAAGTAACTTTCAAATGACAAAGCTCCTTTTCAGATGAACTTGATCCTCTTTTTGGGTAATCAGACATACTACTAAGTCTGCTGAAGCCAAAGCCAGAACCCAAACCTTCAAAGCCTTTGGCCAAATATCTGTTATTCCCTGTCCTGTTCTGGGCCTGTATTCCAGGGCCAGGCCTGGCTGTCAGAATGAAGCCCAATACCTGTCTGCAGCTGCAGGGGGTATAAAGATGCCCAGGAGTGCACTGGGCCCTGGGAGAAGGCAGCACAGCCTGGTACCTCACAGCAGTCAGGCCTGTCTAGAGACTAGAACAGAACCACCAGAGACACAACCACTCTTAGAAGAGGCAATTAAGTTTGCATTTGAATTTTGCACATGCACCAAGATTCAGGAAAGCACTCCTTCAGGGCCTCCGTTACTGCTTACGGCAGCTTTCTGCAAAAATCGAAGGTGGTGCCCCCTCTGGGTGGACACTTGCAAAAGACTCCCCTTCTGGCAGCTGTAGAACGCAGGCTGTACCTGGGCCTTTCTCCTGTGTCCTGACAGGAAGGCGGATGTGACTGCCCCCCTTTCAGGGGCTCTGCCATCATCATTCATATAATGCAACTTTCACCTGAGAAGACCTCTTTCTGTTTTGGGGGTATGCCCCCCTTAAGCACACAGTTGATTTGAATAATAGTTTTCAATGACTATCTCATATTTTCATTCTACTTGATTTGGGCTCAAGGAGGGCTCAGTTTTTGGATTGATGCTTTGGAGTGTGACTCAGGATAGTCACTGTGGGTGGGGGCAGTCATCTTGGGGACTAAGGAGGCCCTCCCCAGGGATAGAGGGCTGAGCTGTGAGCCATGAGTGAGAAGGAGAGATATGCTCCCTTTTATACATAGCCATGAAAGGGGTAGACATTTCTGAAGGACACTGAATAGGCCCTATCAGTATTTTAAAAATGCTTGCCCTTGGACCTAAAGGTTCTGCTAGGAATTTATCATACATATTATCAGCTTCTATAATTTAATTTTTAGATACCTATGTATCTAAATATAAAATTAGAAGATAACCATTGGACCTTGTTTATAATAACAAGCAAAGAACAGAAATTATCAGAAGATCTATTAATAGGAGACTAGTTAAATACGTAGTACTTTCATAAAATCAAATACTATTTTGTCTTTTAAAAGAGTAGAAAAAATGGAAAGATGTCTAAGATATATTGCTAAGCGGGAAAAAACAAATTATACATTATGTATAATCCTCTTTGGATAAAACTTGCTAAAAATCAATAATCAATTTGTCCACCCTGTGATGAATTTCTTTAAATTTATAGAAATGAGAGGAATGAGTTTATTGAAAGAAAACCAACCAACCAACCAACCAACCAACTTAGCAGCTCTTTTACCCTCAGCATTCCTCTGCAACCCAGCCCCAGAGGACATCCGCCTTTCTTTTCCCTTCTCTTCTGGCTTCCTGGGGTAGGGCTCCCCTGAGCTCCCCTTGACACAAGGGAGGAACCTGGGTATGTTCATGACCCCTGAAGTTCATGACCTTTGGGCTTACCATCAGCACCACCCTGAGTTGTCCTCATTTCCTACAGGGAAGGGGGAGGCCTGTGAGAACTGGGGAGCCCTCCTAGAGCCCAAGCGCCTCAGGCTGAGTCTTTTCTGCATTCTCCTTCCTGTGGTCAGGGTGGAGATGCGAGAGCAGTGTATCATGCCAGCGTAGTTTGTCCTTCCCATCTTCGTTTTGTCCCTACTTGAGCCTATAAGTTTTCAGCAACAAAGGTCAGTGTGTGACAAACGTCAGAGCTGTGCCTGGCCTGTGGGTCTGCAGGGCTGGGTTAGGAAGCCAGGTCAGGGTAAAGGGAGGAGGGGGAAGTTTCAATAATCTTGAGAGACCTTGGAGAAGGTATGAGGACAGGACCATGTATGGAAACATCACTTCTGTTTTAGCTGCTAAAACACAGAGCTCACCTGGGATGCGGTGGCATTCTGGGGCAGGGGCAGGGGAGCCAGGTGTTGGCTGAGGTCAGGTTGGTTCTTGGGCTCGATTTTACCCTGATGGAGGGACTCCCTCATCCTGCTGTCCTCATCCCATCCTGTTCCCTGTAAATGTGCCGTCCATCTTGTGTTTCTTGACTACTCATTGGAAAGAAAATAGTGTATGTGTGTGCAT